CCTTGATCCTCCATGTAAGTATACGTGTCAAAATATCGGGACCCACCCTAAAAGCACATTTAACCTGCGTTAAAGAAACCCCACAGAAACTTTAAACCCTAAACAAACCCTTGACTCAAGCCCCTAACCCGACCCTATATCAATCCTAAACCCACCCTAAACCAAAGAATGGTGGGTTTTGTTTTGGTTAGACATGCAGGCGCCTCTCGATTCACCGAAGGAGGACCCTCGAAGCTGTCGCCTTGGTACATGCGCCCCGATGGTGCCGCTTTTTGCAAAAGCTTCTGGGTTGAACCCACAACATGGCCATTGTCGTTTTGGATTCCCTTTAAAACAAACCAAAAGGCGGGCCTCAAAAAGAAGACATGCCCTTTTGGAGCCCTTCTAAATATCTCGCCCAGTGCTTGGGCTTCGCATTGCGCATTTGAAACTTCAAGGCCATTCGAGTTTTCGGCACACGGCTGCGACTTGGACTTCTGACAACTACGTAAAGGCCACCATGCGCCACATCCAACACCACTTTTGAGAGTTCCGAGGCGTGCAAACAAAACCTCTTGAGCATGTCCATTCTCAAGATCTCACGTAGCCATGAAAACTTGCCGCGGCCAAATTGTCGTGGGGGTAATTTCGACCCTTCGGTAGTTTTTAAGGTTCCCGCAGAATAGTAGTTTTCCTGTTGGTGTCCATTTAAAGCAACACTAAAAGGGGGTACCCTCAAAAAAAAACACCCCCAAATTGCGATTTCCCGCGTTGCCTGCAATGGTAACCAAAAGCCCTGGGTTTCGTCCCTTCAATTCAAAGATCAGTCCCTGCACATGAGTTAAATTGGCAGAGGTGAGACCCAAAATCACACGTAGTAGAAACGAACGGACTTTTGTTCACAACGGATTTTCAAGAGAATCCCCCACCCCAAACCTCAGAAAGCGACGGGAAACAACATGTACTTCTCCAAGATAGCCAAAAAGACATCGAGAGGCCATCGCTTTGGGCGCCCACGAAACCATGAAAGGTGTGATGTACTTCTCTGGGTTGGTTGATCTAAGACCCCTTGCAAAGAAACACCTGTTTTGCTCCTGATGGTTTGGGAACCTGCGTCTTGTGCCAAGCACAATGCATGGAGACGATCTCAAAACCAACGAGCTATCTAGGTACAAGGGGCTAAACAATTGCACGCATCATAAGTGTCCTTCTGGGGAAACAGATGGGTTTTTGATGGAATATGGAGCAAGCAGGCAAAGCAGGAATCGCCATCAATTTTCTACCAAAACTACCCAAAAGAAACACCTATGCCAGTTTTCTAGGATCAACTTCTTCGGCAGTCCTCCACATCCATATTTCAAACCATGGCCCTAAACATGGGTTCAGTTTAAGCTCATGGGTGCATTACCCCATGGGGCAGAGACTCCAGGCAACCAAGGAACCAAGTGGGTGCGAGTTTGTTGGTGAGTTGGAACGAACAAAAAAACATGCTACCATTTGGGTGGCTCGTCCTTTTTTGCAAGTTGGTAGACCGTTGTGGGTAAGGGAAAACCAAAAGGGAAAAGAAGCGCTTTTTTGTGGAGGGCTAAGGAACACCCCCCTTTTTGGGGGTTCCCCTAAACAACGACACGCCTACTTCGGGAAGACACACCCATTAGGGGAATCGATTCCGATCCCTTTTCATGGAACGTTCTGCAGCCGTGGGGCCGAAATGGATCGAGCCCGGATCAGTGCCTGGGCTACCGCCCGAACAGGACTTCATGGGGACTGAGTCAAAAAACGCATGGGCTCCTCTTGAGGTTTGACTCCCCTACCGTGGTTCTCCTTGTGGCTGCAATGGTAACCAAAAGCCCTGGGTTTTGTCCCTTCAATTCAAAGATCAGTCCCTGCACATGAGTTAAATTGGCAGAGGTGAGACCCAAAATGACACGTGGTAGAAAAGAACGGCCTTTTTTCACAATTGATTTTCAAGAGAATCCCCCCACCCCAACCTCAGAAAGCGACGGGAAACAACATGTACTTCTCCCAGATAGCCAAAAAGACCTCGAGAGGCCATCGCTTTGGGCGCCCACGAAACCATGAAAGGTGTGATGTACTTCTCTGGGTTGGTTGATCTAAGACCCCTTGCAAAGAAACACCTGTTTTGCTCCTGATGGTTTGGGAACCTGCGTCTTGTGCCAAGCACAATGCATGGAGACGATCTCAAAACCAACGAGCTATCTAGGTACAAGGGGCTAAACAATTGCACGCATCATAAGTGTCCTTCTGGGGAAACAGATGGGTTTTTGATGGAATATGGAGCAAGCAGGCAAAGCAGGAATCGCCATCAATTTTCTACCAAAACTACCCAAAAGAAACACACCTATGCCAGTTTTCTAGGATCAACTTCTTCGGCAGTCCTCCACATCCATATTTCAAACCATGGCCCTAAACATGGGTTCAGTTTAAGCTCATGGGTGCATTACCACATGGGGCAGAGACTCCAGGCAACCAAGGAACCAAGTGGGTGCGAGTTTGTTGGTGAGTTGGAACGAACAAAAAAACATGCTACCATTTGGGTGGCTCGTCCTTTTTTGCAAGTGGTAGACCGTTGTGGGTAAGGGAAAACCAAAAGGGAAAAGAAGCGCTTTTTTGTGGAGGGCTAAGGAACACCCCCCTTTTTGGGGGTTCCCCTAAACAACGACACGCCTACTTCGGGAAGACACACCCATTAGGGGAATCGGTTCCGATCCCTTTTCATGGAACGTTCTGCAGCCGTGGGGCCGAAATGGATCGAGCCCGGATCAGTGCCTGGGCTACCGCCCGAACAGGACTTCATGGGGACTGAGTCAAAAAACGCATGGGCTCCTCTTGAGGTTTGACTCCCCTACCGTGGTTCTCCTTGTGGCTGCAATGGTAACCAAAAGCCCTGGGTTTTGTCCCTTCAATTCAAAGATCAGTCCCTGCACATGAGTTAAATTGGCAGAGGTGAAACCCAAAATGACACGTGGTAGAAAAGAACGGCCTTTTTTCACAATTGATTTTCAAGAGAATCCCCCCACCCCAAACCTCAGAAAGCGACGGGAAACAACATGCACTTCTCCAAGATAGCCAAAAAGACATCGAGAGGCCATCGCTTTGGGCGCCCAAAAGCGAAGCCATGAAAGGTGTGCGGGGGGGGGGGGATGTGGGTGGGTCACAGGTACTTCTCGTTGGTTGATCTAAGATCGGAACCTTCTTCATGTTTTAAGCAAAATTCATGGAAAAGGTCTCCAATCCAACCAGCTGTCTAGTACAAGGGGCTAAACAATTGCACGCATCATAAGCGTCCTTCTGGCAAAATATGTGGATTTCCCGAACTTGCACAACAACCAGGTCACCAGGCATCACCATCTATTATCTATTACAACCACAAAGGACGCCTATGCGAAGTATGATCGTGTCAATCAAGTTGGCAGTCCTCCACATCCTTATTTCAAGTGATGGCCCTAAACATGGGCTCAGTTTAAGCTCATGAGTGCATTGCCCCATGGGGTAGAGACTCCAGGCAACCAAGGAACCAAGTGGGTGCGAGTTTGTTGGTGAGTTGGTTGGTACGAGCCAAAAAAAGCCCGTTACCATTTGGGTCGCTCGGCTCCTTTTGGAAGTTGGTACCCCATTTCTGTGGGAAGGGACAATTCAAAAGGGAAAGGAAGCGCTTTTTCTTTTGGGGCTAAGGAACACCCCCCTTTTTGGGGGTTCCCCTAAACAACGACACGCCTACTTCGGGAATCGGTTCCGATTCTTGACCCAAATTCACAACAGAGATGCCGGTTGATGGAACGCACTGCAGCCGCGGGGCCGAAATCGATGGAGCCCGCGGCTTCCGTGACTTCCGTGCCTGGGCTAGCGCCAGGGCTTCGTAGGGACTGAGTCGGAAAAATCGATGGGCGGCTCCGCTTTCGGTTTGACTCCCCCAACATGGTGGTCGTCCTTCTGGCTTTCCCCAGCTTGCTTTAGGGCATGATGTCAACCCGGTAGCAGAAAAGGACAACTAGGATTTGGGACAAACCTTTTAAGAGGCGAATAGGGGGTATTTTGCGGTTGATTGGTTGTCGATGACTCCTCCCCAAAGCAGCAGCAGACTACGAATCATACTTCTACCGGTTGATTCCCCATTAACAGAACGTGTTTTTCAAGACACAAATGCTTCCCCTGGGTTGATGGTTTGCTGAGAAGAAGGATCCCTGGAAAGAGTTGGGAAAATACCCCTGCAATGACTCGGACCCTTTTCTGGAAGGCAAAACTAGCACTGCTGACTCCAAAGACCTGGCAAGGATGGATTTGTCTTCCGTGAAGGGAAACCGCAGAAAACCGAACCGATTTCTAAGCTTGGGAGTTGGTGCTCTCTTTTGAAGGCAGCTGAGCCTGCCATGTGGAGAGGTACATCCACAACCCAGGCATCGATGTCCATTTACGGGTAGAGGGACAACTCACAGTGTCTCAGGGTTGTTGGATTACACCCTGGGATTACACCCTTGGCAAATGGCCCAAAATAATTCCAGAGCATAATTCAAAAACTCTTCGACAGTGGGCAAAACGAGAGATGTGCCATAGCTTAGATGATACCATTTCACGATGCAGCTTGAATCAAGCTGACGGTCCCATCTGCGGCCCATGTGTACCATCTACCGAGTACAGATGGGCTTTGCGCTGCAATACTGCGGATGGACAAATTATGACACCAGTTAGGATGGACAAGACTAGACCCTATGAATACTGGTTAACCACCACCAATCCCAGCTGGAGCAGGCGTGGATTTTCTCCATCCACAGTATCTTGATTGGCTTTTCTCGGTTGCTTTCTGATCCCCTGCTACAAGTTTACCTTTTCGCGGCTTAATGGAAAACCCATTAGGTGGCTAAAAGTTAAAGTCCTAACATCCCTTGGCAAAATGCAACCAAGAATGCCGGTTTCGCTTGCGAAGGATCAGGGAAGTTCGCCCAGGGCCATCGAAGGAGTCTACCCCTAGACGCTCTGTCGCTGAAGAGCCAACCTCCACTTCACCGCAGAAGCGCCGCGCACGTCGCCGCGACTCGATCGGCTTCTCCTCGCCTGAATCTAGGCACGAGCCGGACGCCGATGAAGCTGGCTCCTGGCCGATGTTTGTGTTTTTTTTCTCCCCGAATTTATCGCTCGGGATATGACGGTGGGCTTGGGATGTCCCCCAGTGGATCCCAGCACCATTCTCCTCTTGTTTTGTCTCTTGCTTACCTACTATACAGCGAAATGGAATCACTAGGTCAGAGTGGACGGCCCAAAAAAAAGTAAACCAATTCCTTTCGGACCACTAAAACGGTCCAAGCGCAAAAAGTAGAAGGTCCAGGAACTCAGGAAGTAAGGTGGATGAAAAAACACCAAGGTTGGAGGTGCGAGACTTGTACAAGCTCTGAGGCTTCAGAACATGGAACTGGCCTCATTATTTTACCATGATCAAAGTCACCCAGTAAGCAATGGCTCAAAGGGAAACAACCTCGTCATTTTCCGACGTTGATACCCCCTAGAAACGGTCCAAAGAATGAGCCCAGCGCATCGTATACCGCCAACACCTGCGATGGGTCCGTTGGATCCTTGCCTCGGTGCTGTTCGGATCGGAGCTCGCGGAATCCGCCGAGGAAATCTCGGAGCTTTCCAAAGCCTCGAGCGAAAAGCGCGCTTCGACTTCGGCGACTTCGGCTGAGCTCAAATTCGAAGTAAGGTCCTGCAGATTTTTGAGAGCGCTTAGAAAATGGTTGGTACCTGTTTCTTTTTGTTCTGTCTATTTTAGTTAATAGGGAACCCTCCCCCAAAAAAAGTGGGTAAAAGGGCACTGCTGGGGGACCTAGAATTGGGTGGGCCGTTGAATGGGCTCTGAGTGGGTTCCAAGTGAATGCTGCACACCTTGCGCTTGCAACCCTCTCAGGCCTGGGAAGGTTGACCCCATATTCGAGGGGTGGGCGTGTTCCCCTCCAAAAGTGGTCTAATTCCAACCACTAAAAAAAGAAATGGACACCCCCCGAACTTGATAAACCGGGGTTGATCAATACGATCAATACGGGGTCAACATTAGAGCTCTGAGTTGAAGACAGCCAACATGCCACGACTGCCAGCAAGTCCGCGACTTGAGTTCTTGAGAAATTGAGCACACGTTTTGTGCGACCCATCGTGCCACGTTTGGGACAACCCACCTCAAGGAAAGGTTCCTAGAATTTTCTTGAAATGGTTGCTTGGAGGCTTTCTGAGAACGTTTCTGGTGAGACGGACCCTAGCATGTGTTTGTTTTCTGCCATGGCATGCTATCATTAGGCACTCTCCGGCTCAACGAGGAACTCAACAAACACAATGTCACAGGAACCTCCGTTGGGCCCCCTTTTGGGGTTCCATGTAACGAGCACAAAAAGCAGGGAGTGCTGAGTACTGCCTGAGGGCATGGCACTTGGGAGCTTGGCCACATGCTCAGGCCATGTGGGGGGAATCGCTCTCAACGACCTCGGCATGTGACGACATCAAGGACCCCTTCGGTGATCTGGTCAGATCGCCACGATTCGCACACTGGAAGTAAGAGTGGGCCGTGCCTATGACTACCTTGTCACTGCAAAGGTGACTTGTTGATACTGTGGATGGACAAAATCCACTTCGCATTGGTAGGTTTATCCAACTATGCAGGAGGTTTTGCCCATCCCAACTGATGCGCAGTGGATGTTGTCCATCCACCACACCACAGAAAGTGTTAAGAAGGCGACTGCACCCATTTCTGGTTGGGATTTTCCCTTACTACCCTCCAATTACCCGGGTTTGGATTGTGGCTCATTTGAGTCGACTGGTTGTCCCTTCCTTTCAGTGAAAAGTATGAAGCTATCTCGGACTCCAATGCCATGACTGTCCTCGTGGCAGAGAGGGGCAAAAACGGAAGGCATGTGTGCGGGGCTAACGCATAGGGGTTCCCTTCATAGGGTCAAATGGCCCTTGAAAGGGCAATACTTCAACACTGTGAAGGCGGTGCTGTTGGTACAGACAGTGGCCACCTAAGACCCTGCTGGTTTCCTTAGCGCTGCTCCCATGCCCCATGCACGTTGATCTACGGACTCCCCCCCCCAAAGAAAAAACATGCTCTTGCTCAGAACCTTGCTTTGGCGCCACATTTCTTTTTGGATCCCATGATTCGCAAAGGGGACCGGGAAGGAACCATAACCCCCCAACCATATCCCCAAATTACAAGAACCCCCCCCCCCCCCGATTCGAAACAGTGGAACCCATCCATTGTCAACCGGACCGAAAACACTTGCTGGTTGGACAGGCCGGGAATGAGAAATGGAAGAAAACCCCCTGAAAATCATTTTCCTATGGTTCCCTGTCTTGGTTGCTGTTGACACCCTGCAAAAAGTTTAACTTTTTGGGGGTTAGTGGAAAACCCCCTTGATTTCCCAAAAAGTTAAAGTCTAAAGATCCAACCCAATAGCAGTCAAGCTGTAAGCCCTTCCGCTTCAAACCCGGACTCGTCGACCCAAAAAGCTCGGCCCATCGCAGCCCGACCCAAAAAGTTCGGCTCATCGCGCGGCTCGACCGAGGCGTTGCGCCTGGGTCGGGCGGCCTCCAGCTTGGACTTGCTGGCCTCGCGCAGAGTGGCGAGCTGCTCCGGGTGGTTTTGTGCCCCTTGGGTACTGGGCGTGTTCCAAATGTCTGTTTTTTGGTTGTTGCTTGTTTCCTTGTTTGTTTTTTTCCGAAAAACTGACACACCCAAGTGGAGATCCAAAAGTCGCCGAGCCAAACCACCCATCTGCCATTTGCGAACACCAATGGTAGATTCCCTTGAAGGCCGCCAGGAGAAATCATGGTCCCCAGCAAGTGGAAGTAGCAGGTTACCTCTGTTAAGCTCCCCCCCCCCTCCCCAAAGGAACCCCCCCCAAAAAAAAAAGAAAGAAAGAAAGAAGAATCGACCCATTCTGAATGGGTTCTAAGAAATGGCTCCAAATGGATGCTACGCATTGTTGCCCTTGCAAGCGATCGGAACCTGTTTACGAGAAGTTTCCTTGGGGGCTCCTTGCCCCCTGCTGCTGTTTGGGTCTGATGTTCCAGTCATCTAACCAAGGGAAGAAATATGTTGCCATGACACGGCCATCTGATGTATGATGCTGAAACACGAACCGTCCGTGTACCCTTCTGTGTACCCATAGTATGGAGAAACTTGTTGACCATGTTCAAAACCACCTTCCAGTGGGTCAAAGAGGGACCCCGCAAGCTGTCCTTTCGGCGGAGCAGATTCTACACCGAAGCACTCACAACCCATCTGAACCCCAAAGAAACACAACTGATAAGAAGCCGAACGCCCAGAATTCTGGCTTTGCGGCTTCAGAACTTTTGGACAGTTGGACCCAGCCGAAGATATTCGCCCTTGCAAGCCCCATAGGGTTGACGGCTCGCGGAAGCCTTGTAGAGCTCATATTGAGCAGTGGCTCCGGCTTGTGCTCAAGTCTGCTTTGAGAAGCCCTTGCCATGGACTACACAAATAGATCTCCCAAACTGAACGGCACCTCAGGAACCTCGGCCGGTTTTCCCTCGGCAACCTGAGTCACCGCGAGACCTCGGCTTCTTGGCTCCTCGGTTCGGACCCTTCGGAGCCGAAACCTGCCTTCCGCATGGAGTCTCTCAAGGCGTGCACCTGAAGCAGGTTTGATTCCTCCAGCTTGTGAACCAGCCACCCTTCAGCTCGGTTTGAAAAAGGAAGAAGAGGAGCCAGCCTGGGCAGCTTGTTCAAGCAGAACCAGGGGCAACCCCACCTGAAATGAATTGGAGGGCCGTTTGGAGGGCACCTGTTGATGGTTAAAAAAGAGAAACCAACAGGAGAAAACCGACCTCCTTGGCGGGTCCCAAATCCCACCTCGGACACAGGCCCGGCTTTACGCTTTGGCTCAGAGCCCAGGTCCCCGCCAGAACAAAAAAGGGCTGGCTTCTTTCCGGTCGAAAAGTTCTCAATGGCCACATGGGTATGGGCCAAAAATCGGAATTCCCAAAATAGAACCCTGGTAAATGGAAACATAGACTAAAACCCGTGGTCCATATCCTGGTGGTTGAATTTGGACTCATACCCACATGGAATCTTGTAAGAAGCCCTGTGTGAGCAACAAACATCTTTTCTTTGATGGCCTTTGGCTCTGAAGGTACGGGCGTGAAATGTTGAATTCGGGACCCTTTGGACAGAATTCGGTGGCGGTTCATGTCCACTTGCTTTGGAGATGGATTCCTTGAAAAAAACACATGGCCAGCTTGTCCGACATGCACCTCGATAAGGCGTAGAGATTCCAGTCATTAAATCGACGGGCTACTTTTTGAGCTCGGATGCCTGTCCTCTCCGTGTATCTGCCAAAATAATCAAAACCTGAGCATCAAAAAGGCAAATCTCCGCTGAACAGACCTGATCCAAACGACCAATCCCGAACTTTACATACATTTGACCTGTACTACTGTGGATGGACGAAAACCCATTTCACACTGTTCAGAAGCCATGCTTGAAACCATTGGTGTGTTGGTGTATATTTACCCTTGGGGAAATTCGAAAATCATTCCATGACCACTCACCCACCCACCCACTCACTCACCCACTCACTCACTCATTCACTCCTTCAATGACCTGGGGGCCTCGCTTCGAAGTCGTCAAGATTTCCCCGCGCGGCGCGCGCCTTGTCCACGATGCGGGCGCCCAGGTCTTCCAGTTCAAAGAGGTCCCCCACCTCTTGCTCCAGCCCCTCCTGTGAGATTTTTGGACTCCGGCAGGGGGGGAGGGGTGTTTTGTTTGTTGGTTTTTTTTCTTTTGGGGGGGGGGGAAGGGTTGTTTTTTGGGGGGGGCTTTAGTTTTGGGGGGGTGGTGGGGAATTTGATCTTTTCTCTCCCTGGTTTGGTTTTTGAGAAGTTCGCCTTTCGCCTCTACAACAGCCAGGGGTTAGCCTCCCAAATCCAAACCACCCATCCAAACCAGCATTTCGTGCCTAATCCCGGGGGAAGGCGGGAGAGGGGGGGGAGAGGGGGGATTTCTTGAGCCGGTTGGGGCTTCCCAAAATTCTGGAATCTAGGGGCAAAAACCCCAGCCATTCTGAGACAAACCGTTCCCGAAGGCCGAGCGAGCCAGGGTGACTGCGGCAAAAGGAAGTCAAGACCTTGCTGGCAACTGAAAGCGAGTCGGCTCCTAGTTTCACGTGACCATGGAACCCCCAGAGACAGCGGCTGTTTGGAAGCCTCGCGCGAGCCATGCCAAAAACGCATTGAGGGCGGCCAATCATTTCTCCAGTAAGAATTAAACAAGAGACCACAGTGGCCGAAAAAGACAAAGGGAGTCCCTATTTGAGCTGTGCCCAACACCTATTAACTCTTGCTATTGTCATGGTTCTTAAGGTGAAAATGGGCCTCAACCCCACGAACCAGGTAGTAAGACCCCACCTAACATGATGCAAAAAAGGATGGGCTTGGGGGCGATGCTCATGTGATCCAGCCCCGGAAACACCCGGCCTGCACTGCATCACGCATGCCTGGGCGGAGCAATGACTCCGTGGCAAGTTTCCCACGATGATCTCCCGAAAGTTTCATGAGCCTCATGACCCCAAGCCGATCTGGAATCGTTGCAACCTCCTTCTCACGTGCCAAGATTGGTGTCCTCATTTGGGTGTGTCTATTGAGGGTTCTCCTTTTGGATGGTTTTACAGGGAAACGAAAAGAAAAAACGCAGCCCTTGAACGGCCTGACTCCTATTTTGAGACAAATCTAGTTCGTCGCACGCAAAAAGAAGAGCCAGAAGCTTGCTTTCTCTGGAATGGAGGGTCTGACCATGCGTTTGAGAAGCCTCGGCGCGAAGTCGTTCTGCCATGTGCGGGGGAGCGGGAAAAAGTTGTTCGGGAAGTCCCGCTGAACCACATTCTGGATAATTAAGAAGGAAGCTCCTAGGTTCTCCCTAACATGGTTCTTGTCACATGATACCCAGGAAAGAGGAATGTACCTCAAAAAGGGCCAAAAGCTTTTCTGAGGTCCCACACCTTCCAATGGAGGATGCTTAGGCTTTGCCGCGAGTTTTGTTTTACTGTTTCGACTTTGTTACGGGAACGGCAAGGACCAAATGATGAATCTCCTCAACCAATGGCGGTTACAATCAACCCACAATCAACTCATTGCTTTTGAGAATCTCTGCAGTCCAGACGGTGGAACGCACACTTCAAAGGCCCTTTTAAGGGGTAGGCGACCTAACATGGTACCAGCTTGATACTTGACTCAAGGTAATTTGCTGCATACATTCGATGTCCAGAGCTACCGCGATCGCCGCGGAGTCTGGGGAAACAGCTGGTAGTTGAAATGTCTAACCAAAACTTGTGGCACCGAATCACAAGGGCCGTTCATGCCGTACATTTTTTAGGGGAAAGAGTTAAATTCCCGACGAAGCCTCACCGGCTTTTGTGGCTCCAAAGACCTGCCGACTTGAAAACAGTCACATCTCTGCTCGTCAATCTGAAAGAAATCGTACGCCTGTGGAAGGGGCCTTCGTCATGCCGCGCTTCCTAGTTCGGCACCTAAGAACTCCTCTCTGGGCTGCCCGTTTTCAGATCCCCCGCTAAAAGTGACTAACTTTTAGTGGGATAAATGGGAACTACCACTAAACACTAAAAAGCCAAAAGGCTGAGGAACCGGATGGCTGGCTTCGCCACCAAGCTCGTGACCTTCCTCCCCGGACTCGTGCTTCACCGCCTCGGATTTCCAGCTCCGAGGCGCGGTCTTGCAGCCGGTCGTTGGCCTCCGCGTTGCAGCCCACAGAGTCGAGCACCAGCGCCACGAAACTCGGCATGTCCAGCACCTAGGCCGAAGCATGGCATGCCTTCTGCTCCCCTGCTGAAAGTGAACAACAAAATAGTGGTTTCATGGGGAAAAACTCAAATTGGTTGGCAAAAAGTGGTTCAGTCCTAACATCCCTTGGCCAAATGCAACAAAGGAAGCCTGGCACGCCCGATTCTGCGGGGAGTCAAGACTCTGCCGCCTTGCGCCGCCTTTCGGGATACCAAAAACTGCCCCTAGTTTTGACAACCACGCCGCGAAGCAGGCAGGTGGGAAGGAGCAAACAGGCAGATGGCTTTTTACCATCGCATGCGAGGAAAAAGACTGGCGGGGTAAACAAACCATATTTTCCAGTGGCAACACGTCTTCCATCTACAGCAGGGAATACAATGCCTAGAAGCCTTCTGGCCCTTGAAAAAAACTCAGGTGGATTCCGCGCTTGTCTGAAGGGTAGCTTCTCTCCTGTGCTGGGGAGTCTATTTGCTGCCGTCCCCACTTCTCTATCAGCGCCGCGGCAAACCCAGCGACCAAGAAAAAACACACACAGCAAAACGAGTGGGTGGACATGTATGCACATATATACACATATGTATTATTATATGATTGTCAAAATCAGAGTCATCTCCGCCGTCCATTGAAGAAAACCGACATAAGAATCAGCCTTGTTCGGTACATCCCTAGTTGGGTTCTCAAAACTAGGTTTCCCGTCAAAGCCAAAGGGGCTTGGTTTCCCGTTGCTGGCGCTCTTAAACCAACCCAACAGCCCGAAATGCATCTGTTTGGGCCTGGAAGTCCAAGGCATCGTCAATGATGGACTGCAGAGGTTCCTGAGCTATGGGAATTTGGGCACGCGGCTGCACCGGTTTCCACCCCCAGCTGCTTTTTCCATAAGCTGGGGTTAACATCCGAGAAGGCGCCGTAGGGTGCTGGGGAAGGAGCCGTAGGGTGCCGGTTCTTTTTTTTCGGGGGCGCCGTTCGGTGGAAAGCCATCGAACGAAAGGGGTGCAACTGAACTTCTGCTGCAAATCAGCTTCACCGTGCCGAGCATTGCGCGCAAGGTCTGGCAACATCCAGATGTTGCAGGGATCTCTCGTGTACGGGAATTGAATCGGCATGGGCGACCTTCTTTCTAGGAAAACAAAAAAATAAACGATTTGGTCTCCTTGAAAAGACCCCAGCTCTCAGTCAGGCGTCCTGCATCGCAGGGTCCAGATTTGCCATGAGACCAGCAACGTCCAGGCCGCTTCTGGCAGACTCCTACAGGTCTCAAGCTCCGTCAGTGGCGGCAGTAGATTGGGATCCCCTCCGGTCACATCAAGAAAGACCCTTGGCAAGCTAGGGTTTGGCTGTTCTGGGGTCGGACCCCCTAAAACAGGCATCCTTACATTGTACACCTGAACACTGCAACTTGCAAATCAGGTACAAATTTCATGGCATGCACGGGTTTGCGCGGATTTGCGCGGGTTTGCGGGCAGGCGCAGCACTTTCGCAAGGTCAGGTACAGATTTCGTGGCAGGCGCAGCACTTTCGCAAGGTCAGGTACAGATTTCGTGGCAGGCGCAGCACATGCGTGGGTTTGCGCGGATTTGCGCGGGTTTGCGCGGGTTCGCGCGGGTTTGCGCGGGTTCGCGCAGGTTCGCGCGGGTTTGCGCGGGCTTGTGCGGGTTTGCGCGGATTTGCATGGGCTTGCGCAGATTTCGTGGCAGGCGCAGCACTTTCGCAAGGTCAGGTACAGATTTCGTGGCAGGCGCAGCACTTTCCCAAGGTCAGGTACAGATTTCGTGGCAGGCGCAGCACTTTCGCAAGGTCAGGTACAGATTTCGTAGCAGGCGCGGCATTTTCGCAAGGTCGGGTACAGATTTCGTGGCAGGCGCAGCACTTTCACAAGGTCAGGTACAGATTTCGTGGCAGGCACAGCACTTTCGGAAGGTCTGGTACAGATTTCATGGCAGGCGCAGCACTTTCGCAAGGTCAGGTCCGTCTGACGATGCCAATCCGCGCGAACCGGCGCAAACCGGCGCGAACCGGTGCGAACCGGTGCGAACGGGTGCGAACCGGTGCGAACCGGTGCGAACCGGTGCGAACCGGTGCGCATCGAAGTGCGGACGCGTCTACCACCGCAATGACATGTTTCAAATGGTTGCAAAATCTGTATCTTTCAAGGAGCCCCCTAAAAATTTGTGTCTTTTCCTTTCGGCTTTTTTTTGAAAGCACCCGGACCCGAAACTTTCGGCCCGGCAAAGAGCACTTGCCTCTTCGCTGAGGAAACCTTCGTGGGGGGTACAAACACCTCAGCCTCCCTCCGATGGCTTGGGCTGGTGGCTCGGGGGGTTCTCGCCTGTCCAAGCCACCAAACCACCAGTTCGGGGCAAGGGTGAAAGCATGTCCTACCAAGGCCCTCCAGTCTGTTAGAAAAAGCACAAGCGGGAGTCAGCAGCTGTCTTGGCAAGGAAATTGGTTGGTCTCTTTTTGAGGCCATCCTTTGCGATACTCACTTCCCATCGAGTGGGTCGGTTGGCTAACAGAAGTCCCGAGTTGCTGTTTGCGGCCGAAAGGGTCCAAACCCGAAAAGCTTATAAGGTCCATGAGTGCTGCTGACCCCATATTCGTCAAGGAAGACCTAAGGAGTGGCTGCACGAGACAAACCCGCGGCATCGGCGTCGGCAAGCTTTGCCGAGGTCGGCTTTGCCTTTGATGTCTTGGTGATCCCCTTGGTACCTCATAAGATTGCACTCTGGAACAAAGATGGAGCAGAAACAAGCACAGCACAAATGCAGACATATACACATCAAAAACGTATGTATTGGTGTGTATATATATATATATGTATATATATATATATGTATTTACACATGTAATGGAAACATGATGGCCACATGAGCATCTCCCAGCCGATCCAAACACCGTTTGGGGTTGAGAGCCTGGCCTGTCTCCTTTGCGTTTTGTAAACCATAGGGAAACCAAAGTTGGAATCCATCCATAGGTTCCCAGTGGACAAAGCCGCATTTGTTTTCTTCAAACGAGATCCTGGCACTGGAATAGGAAGTTGGCCTCCCGTGGGGTTTGCCATCAACGCTCTACAAGCAGAAGTGCTGGCAGTGATGCTGGGCTTGGCGGAAAAGCCCTGCAGCAAGCTCCGCTTAATGCTAGATCAACGGTTACACTGGCCGTACGCGGTTCCTAAGAGCATTACAAACGATGAAGAAGCAAAAGCTCAAATACCCAAACCACAATCCAAACCAACTAAGGTTATGTCCTCCAGTAGAGAGGTTAGAATAGAGGGCGGGTCGGCATGGGGGCTGAGTTTTCAGACTCCTGGAGACTGAGTTTTTCAGATTTCTGGGGCTGAGTTTTTCAGATTCTTGGGGGCTGAGTTTTTCCATTAAAAACACTAAAAAAATACCAAACATAGAAGATCAAGGCCCGTGACCTCTTAGATTTATTGGGGTGCATTTTTTGTGTTTTTGGCTGATGACATGCAAGCACAGATTCATTTTCGATCCAATGAAGACTCAGATGCATCCAGACCTGGAAAATGAGCTAGCTTCAATCTGCACAGAAGACAGCCTGTTGAGAACTATGTTGCACAAATATCATTGTTGGACACAAATATTTAGCAAACGTGTGTCTGTAGCTTATTATTGGATAATTGGCATGCTTACGCATGCCAAGTTTATAAACCTCAGGGTGCTAACTTTTGGAAGACGTATGTTTGGCACAAACCTTCAACACAAGTTGCATACGTGTGCAATATTTTGGAAGACGAATGCTTAGCAATCTGCAAGCAGATGTATGTTTGGGACAATTATTATTGTTGTGTTGCAATTCTGAAACACGTAAGTATGGCAACCACAGCTTGCCACGCATATGAAATCATAAGAAAGGTAAGATATCGCTGATCTATGCAGCTTTTAGCTGCAAGACTCAGCTCTTTTTACAGTTGGATGTTCAATTTTTCAATATACGCATGGGCAGAGTACGCATGGGCTCTGCCCATGCTCTTGAGAAAAGACAGCTAACACAAACATCTTTTTTGCATAATGAGCTGGAGCAATTGGAGCACAGCTCCAATCTAGTTGCTTGAGCTCAAGAAGCACAAGATGCAAAGATGAGCACCTGCAACAATATCTGCAGATGCAAATAACATTCTCTGCATAAAGCTGTTCAGCTTTGGAATAAGAGCTTTGGAATAAGATTCTCTGCAGCTATTCGTGTTGCTGAAGAGCTCTTGCAACAGTAAAGCTGTTCAGAATAGATTCAAGTAGACACAAGCCACAAACAATTGCTTGTGATGAGATGTTACCTGCAGAAGATGAAATGAGAGATGAGATAAATTATCTCCAGGTACCTGGAGTTACCTTCAGAATATCTTGGAAGAGGCCTATGTTCTGTTGATACACATCTCATCATATCATTGATGTCTTGCATCAAGAAAGCTTGCATCAAGAAAGCATCAACAAAGTATTGTCTTCAGATGATGGGCTGTTTTCTTTTGTGTTTTTTTGGTTTTCTTGGTGTTTATGAGCAAAGGCACCAAAAAAAACAAACAAAAAACAAACAAACAACAAAACAAAACACACAAAAAAAAAAGACCCATGGCCCTGAACTAGCAGTAACTAGCAGATGCAGATGATGGGCTGTGCTTTTTTTTTTGCTGAAAAAAACTCAGCCCCCAGGAATCTGAAAAACTCAGCCCCCAGGACTCAGCCCCCATGACGACCCCTTCTGTTAGAATAAGTTGGTACCAACTTTTTTCTGTAGTCTCTTTTAGTAGGGGAACCCTCTCCCAAAAAAAGGTGAGAAAGAGGGTGAGAAAGGGCACCTAGCTGGGGAACCTAGAAGGGTTACCTGAGGTGCCGATCGGCGAATTAAACTTCTCGATCGTCCCTCCTTCAGCTGCTTGGCCTGCTTCTCCATCTTGTGGCGCTGGAAACGCTCCTGCTGGTTTCAAACTGACATGAAAATAAATACCAAGGAAGAACGAAATGACGGGCGTCTACAACTGGAACAGTCACCACAAGTTGAAAGACTTCTAAAAAGGTGGTGGCTGATCAAACAAATGGAATCATCCACCAGTGGGTGAGACACCTTTTTGGATGTGCAAAGCACTCCCAGGGGGCAAAAGGAACGATTGGGGACGCGCAAAAAGGGCACATCCAAATTTCGGGGGTGACCCACAAATACTGCGCCCGGCTTTCCTCAAATTCCGCGGCCACAACAGGGACATCAGGTGAATACGAGCTTATTGACACCAATTTGGGACCCCATCCGTCAAGAGAATGGAAGCAAATGAGCCCAACTGCAAGAACAGAAACTCTTTCTGGGCAGGTTAACCAAGCAACGAAATGGCATGTTCATTGTGTGAAGAGGAGCCCCAATAAAATGCTGTACTGAAAACGGTTGCGTCTCATTAGTCTAAGAAGCGGAGCGAGCGTGGAGGGAAGAGTCCCACGCTCGAAGATCTGCATGCTCCCCTGTCAACAACAATCCCCGACGCGAAGAATGGCAGGTCCATGTTGGGAGTGCGGAGTAGCCAAATGAAACTGCAAACTGATGCGCCTCGCAACTAATGCGCCCCCTGGCGATCATTTGGAGAGGATGGTCTCAAGGCCATGGGCCAAAACCCAAATCGTACCCCCAGTGGACGTCCCAATCCAACCACTAAAATAGACTAAAATGGGTGGTACACCTACCCCAAAATGGTACCATTGGTTTTGACCCACAGCCTCAAGAACTTGCTTAAGAGGAATGCCTGCAAAGCTGTCCAAAATCCAAATTCATCGTCAACTAGCAACAATCAAGGGTGGTCCCCCCTTTTAGCGAGAGATTAAGTCTCTTTTTCGAGGGGTGCCAGAAACACAGTCTAAGCACAAACGAAAGGGCAAGTTTGGGCATGTGTCTAAACCGGGAAAGCTCGTTTTACTTGGGATGTTGCTTTACCTCGGTTGCTTTCTGCTCCCCTTCTAACAGTTTAACTTTTAGGGGTTTAATACGGAAAACCCATTAGTTGGCAAAAAGTTGTTCAGTCCTAACATCCCTTGGCAAAATGGATGCAACAAAGCTTACTTTGGGTGTGCCAACAAGAAGCCGGAGAAAGTCAAGTCCAAACCCACGGAAGCGGAAGCGGTGTTTGCCTCGACCATTCCCCGGCTCCTCAATCACCAAGCGGACCTGCGCGACGGGTGGCCTTCCTGGGTTGCCTACCTGATTGGTCTCGGCGAGTCGATCAGTTCCCGGAGGGATCTTCGGTGGGTTTTAGTAATTTTAGTATTAGACTGTTGAGCAGGGAGAAGGGGTTCGTCCATGAGCAGGCCCCAAATGGGCATGTCCTCTTCGTGTCCAGTTTCCTTCCGAATCTTCCGGGGGGAGGGGGTGGGTTGAAGGGGTCTCAGACCATTGACAAAGCCACAGCGTGAGGAGAATGCCTCATCGGCCAAGCGCCCCAGCCCGACTCTAGGCAAGTTGCGCCGGGATTCGCTTGTGATCTAAGTCAGCGAGGCGTCCTTTTGGACAAATAGATGGCCCCATGAAAAACGAACCGAGCCCCCGCTTTTGCAGCCAAGCCGCCCTAAAAAAGCACCGCCTTTCATCCAAAAAGTGAAGCCCAAGAACCCAAGAGACCACTTTGAGTGGGTGAAGCGGAATCCCCAACCACCAAAACCAACCCCCAAAACCAACCAACAAGCTCAGCTCAGGAAGCTCAGATGCCTCACCAAGGAATCAGAGTCCGCTCTCGGGAGTCCCGGCGGCCTTCGGGGATCGGAGCCGAGGTCATATCAGCCAAAGCCGGGTACGAAAAATTGTTCGAGGGGTTTCGGCGAGGAATCCAAAGACTTTCCGGCTGACAAATCAATTGGACCATTGGCGGATCTATCGGAATCCATTGCCGGATAGAGATGGATGTGGTTTTAGTCGCTAGGGCTTGATTCCCTTCTCCCATTCTTTTCAACCATCGTTCTTTCCCAAAACCGGATCCGTTTTCTGCTGGGTGTCCGAGGTTTTGTAGAAAGAAGGATCCCTGGAAAGAATGGGGAATGTAGCCCTAGAAAAATGGTCTACCAAGAACCATGCTTCAAGAATACAGAAGGCGGCCGCAGCTATTTATGGCAAGAGACTGTCCCTTACTAACATTCATCTACATTTTGATCACAGCACATTTGGAACCATACCTAGAGGTGCGCTTGAACCTCCAAACTGGCGCACCAAAAAAGACGCACCACATCCGCCGCGCGTTCTTTTCTTGTGACTCCTGAGAGACCAAAGTCGCCCCCTTCACCCGCCAGAGAAAAAGAATCCTCGCCCGGCGCCTGATTCAGCACGGCATTCCGATGTCGCAGCGCCGCATGGGTGCCTCCCACCACCGCCTCTCGTTCTTTCCCCAGGCCGGTTGGGCTTGGGCTGAAAGAATGAGGCGCACCCCCCCCCCAAAAAAAAAACATAAATAAAAAGTGGGCTGGTATCCTTTTTGCAGAAAACAACTGGGGCTGCACGAAAAAGAAGACACGAAACCATTTATGGGGGGCTTCCATGTTTGCTTCAACAGAAAGGCTGTGCAGTGCGATGATTCTGAATGAGACCAAAAAGAAATGTGCATGTTTGCACTTATACTAACAAAGTGTGAGGTTGATGTCACCTTGGACGCCAAAGGCAGAGTTGTCCTGGACCTTTGGAAACCTCCCGAAGTGCAACAATACCTTCATACCCCCGCAGGCAGAGGATGAAATGGGCTAGCTCCAAACTTTGCCAACCATCACAAATGCAATCGACCAGAGTTTTCGGGCTCAAGAGCAAAATGGCGGCACGTGCATGTCAGACTACTTCTTGAGGGTACACTTGTTGGGGTTGGTTGAAAGAAGGGCCAAATCCACACCATCCAATTTTGGGGTACCCAGGAGACAAACCCATTTGAAAAAAAGGAACCTCGCAAATCCGATGCGTCTTTGGAAAAAAAGACAACTCACTTGAGTGACGTGGCCAAGTCCAAACTAATGTTTAACAAAGGCTGACCAGCAACTCGTTGGGCGAGAGTTGGGTGGGCCGCCACTGTGGATGAACGAAATCCTGCACTACCAAAGAAGTCATGGAAACCATTGTTTGTGGGTATTTACAGGGTAATCATCATTCCAGGGTTTCTGAGGTGGTGCAGGATTTCGTCCATCCACAGTATGATGGAGAGGTGTCCTTCCTGCCTTGACTCAACGGCTTTTGAAAGTTGGCCAACGAACAGGTCAGATGGGCCACTTGACCAAGTGACCTCTGCTCCGCACTGGGTGTCTCTCTTTTTCTGCGGGCATCCCTCTTTTGGCGGCTTTGAGGGAAAGCCGGCAGGAAAACAACTACATTGGGGTGGAACCAACGAAAAACGAAAACGGAAACAACTATCTTGGGGAGTGGAACAAATAAAAAAGAAGAACGAACACAACTATTATTATGTTTATTCTTCATATATATATATATATATTTTTGGGGGGGGCGTTCCCTACAAATAACAAGGACACCCCCCAAAGGGAACATTCAAGGGGAAAAAAACGAATCCAACGAATGACGCCTGGACCTTCTTCCAGAGCTCCTTTCTGCGGCCGGCAGGCTCCTCGCCGGCCGTATTTTGTGCGGTGTGTTGAACCCCCCCGACGCTGGGCGGCTTGGAGAAGACGTACGTTCTTTGAATTGGTCAAGCCCTGTCCCTCCAGTAGGTTAGAATAAGGGTACCAACTCTTCTCTGAAGTCAATTTTTGGAAGGGGAACCCACCACCGCAAAAGGGTAAAAGGGCCCTACAGGGGGACCTAGTAGTTCAACAAATGGGGGTGGATCACGTTTCCATTTAGAACCCCAAACTGACCATGGGTCACCGTGCCATGTGGTGAACGTCATCTTTTTTGGCGGTGTCCCCAACGGTAACCTTATGTAGAGGACCTTCTGATGAACCCCCAGAAGATCGGCGTCCAAATCACGGCGTCCGTTTGGTCGAAGAAAAGACACGCCCATTCATGAAAACCAACAGGAAAACCAACAGGAATTCACCGGTCTGTTGTTTTAGATGCGAAACACTCATCCTAGAAACTTTGAAAGCCATAAGCATGGTTGAGAGGGGTCCGATTTAGATGAGACTTAGGAAGATAATGGTGGTTCTATTAACCCGACCATTGTTTCACCGCACCAAAAGGACAGCTTAAACATTTCGGCTTCCTTTAAACCAACCCCTAAGGGCCTGAAAAAGAAAATCCCCCCAATGTGAGCAGCTCAGCGCTTCTTACGTTCCCCCTCCCCCTTCCCCCCCCCCCCTCGCACAAGGTGTTTTTGGTTCGTTGTCCTGGTGGCTTCCCCGTTACGACCACCACAAAGCAGGGGTCGCAAAAAGACGAGCCACCGGACCCGCGGGTTCCCTTGGCCGGGCATCTGCCTTCAACGCTGGCGTGTCCACCGACACGTCATCCATGAACTCGGCGCGCAAGCGCTTGGATAAAACCCGCCTATGAGGGTCGTGTCAAGGGCAACCCTAAAGAATGGTGGGATTCATGTTGCCCTTCCTTTCAAACCAAAAAGGGTGCCCCACCCAACCCCCCCCCCACCCCCCCACCCAGCCCCACCCACCCAACCCGCCCCCCCCCCGGGGAAAACCAGGAAGAGAGACCACCCCGTGATGGAGAAACAAGTCTTGGCTGAAGGCCAATGCCTTGAACCCAAGGGATCGATCCCCGATCCAGGCCCTTGACGCTCCGATGTGTCCAACCATCAAACCTTCTTGGACCCAACCAAAAGCTAAACCCCAGGTCGAAAAGCACTCGTTTGTGAGTGGAAAAGCGCCTCAATGTCCAGAATCTCCAGATGGAGTTCTACAAATTTGAAACCGGGAATACGGTTTCTGCGGTTTCTTGACGTTGAAGGTGGAGTCTCGCAGAGCAACCATGATAGACTACATGTTCTTCTTCGCTTGCAACCCGTGGAATCAAAGCCATACCCAAGCATGGCCGCCCCAATCATCTGAGAGCCCTGCAATCCGGGTCTGTTGATATGTCTTCCTGCCGCGTGAGAAAATGATTGGCAAGAGTCATCAAGCAGGGATCCTTACATTATACACCTGAACATTGCCTTGTAAATGGTGGTTTCCCTTTTTATTTCGGTGCAAAAAGCAACATGTTTCAACTGGTTGCAAAATGTATCTTCTAAGGAGCCCTGTCAAGGGAATCCCTCGGCTATCAGAGCCCTTAAAAAGGCCCGCGTGCGCGTCACACCGGTTGCAACTTGAGTGCAACCGGTCCAAGGCGAAGCTCGTGAAAAATGCATCGGATCCAAAACCTAGGGCTTGGTTGTTGCAAGGAACATGTTGTCCCGATGCGTTCCTGTGACAGGAACGCATTGCTTCACATCTGTTCAGCATGTGCAAAGCTGCCACTCCAAACCTCTTCAGATCTAAACGCGTTGACAAAACTTTTAGGGGGTTGAATGGACACCAACCCACTTAACCCCCCCCAAAAAAAAAAACGAGAAGTGCTTACGGAACCGGCGCCGAATCCGGAGGGGTTCAATAGATCCGAGGGCCGTGGAAAACCGACGGCGTCAACCGCATCAACGCCCGGAGCTCCTCAAGAACCTCACCTTGGGGGCGCCTGGCGAATCCGGGGAGTGGCTTGGCGAATCCGCTGCCAGTGGGTTGCCGAATCCGAAAACCCCCAGCCAGCCTCCCCTTTGGCTCTGAAATCGCCGGAGGAGAAAAAAACAAAAAGGCCAGTCGCTGGTTGTTTTTGGTCTTTTTTCTTCCAGTGAAATCGAGTCCCGAACCAACAAGGGAAAGGAAAAGATAACTAACAATGATGCTTGGGGAAAACATGGGGATCTCTGAAAACAATTGGAGTCTGACCTTCCAAAGAGGGATGGGACCAAATCCGCTTCGCACCAGTTTGGACCAGCGGTTTATCAACCAGATTATTACTCTCAATTGGTGCGAAGTGGCTTCTGTCCACGGTATTTGTGGGAAACACCCAGATTCACAAGGCTCATGCTGCTCGGAGTCGTTCTAGAGAGACGTTCTCCCAGAGAAAGAAAGAGAAAGCGAGAGAGGGAGACAGGGATAGAGAGAGAGCGGGATAGAGAGAGTGAGGGAGAGACAGATAGAGGTGCAAGCAACGATCGTACGTCCATTGCATCTTCGCTTGCAAAGGGATTGGAGTGCTCGTTCACAGCATCACCGCCAAGAATTTGCCAGAGTAGGGATTTTAGGTGTGCATGAACTTTCTTAGGGTACCCTGTTCAGAGTTGGCTTAGGCCAAACGACAAGCCACCATTTAAGGGGTTTTGTTTGCCACATTCCCTTGGGCGGTTCCTACTTTGTTTGCTTTGCTTTGCCAATTTAGCAAGTGGCGACACCTGCGTTATACCCCGCTAATCACAGGGTTAACTCCACTTAGGGGAACCTAAAAGTGGTTGTAACCCAGGTTGCCAACAACATACCAAGTTGGCCGAGCCCCCAATCAGGTTGCCCTTTGGTGGTTGGGACTGGTTGATTTGAACTGGGTTTCCCCAGCCCGGAAGACATCATCAACCGATTCGGCTCCCCCCACCACTTCCATAAGACAACATCTGCAACTCCACTGGCCCAAGACGGGCCCTTCAATGGTCTAGGTTCCTTCGGTTCCTTTCAGATGAACGATGCAAGATCCGAAAGGATCAAGGGGCACGCAAGGCCACGCACCTTTCCGAGCCCAGGCGCGGGCATGACCGGCACCCCATCCGCAAAACGGCCCGCCTAGCTCGTCGCTGGCACCGGGCACAATTCCTCAGAAAAACCCAGTTGAGGGTGGCTGGTCCCTTGTTGCTGGTGGTGTGTTTTGGGGATTTTACGAACCGCAAAGGAAAGCCGAAACCATTTTGGGTTGGTCCCACTTTTTGGATCAAGAAGGTTGGAGAGGTGGTGCCCTCCCTTCCACTAACATGGCAATTCTGGGAGGGCACCTGGAAGATTGGTGTTCTCTTCAAGAGACCGCGGACCCCATGTCTGGTGCTATGTTAGTTGGAGAAAAAGTAGCACGAAGCGAACCAGGGAATGCGAATGAGAAATGGCCCTTATGAGCAAAACTGCTGGTTTCCTTTCAGGGGACCCAAAACCGGTTCATTCACAATCCCCAGCATTCAAAGCCAGACCCGCTCCGAGGCCGTTTTGAGCCAAAAGGCTTTCTTCTGAGCCATGTGGGATTTGTTCGGGACCCCCCCCCAAAAAAAACAAATAACATAGAAAAGAAACTGTGTAAAACAAAATGTGATGTTGCTTGTGGTTGTCCTGACTCTTCAAAGCACCACATTGGTGCTACTGGTACCTTAATCGCGAAACGGTGCATCCTTTACGCCGCATAAGGATTAGTGCCAAAATGGGAGGATTGCCCAGCTCCACTGGGCAGCTCCCCTCAGCAGCTGATGGGAGTAGAATTGATGCCACTCCCACAGCGAGGGAGGAATCCTCCCACCTCACCGGATGCCCTCCCGGCATCATGGGTGAGGAAGGAAAGTAGCGAAGATCAGCTTGATCAATTCGCTTTCGACTGAGGGGAAGACCCGGTTCTCAGTCGGAAATTGCGGGTCCGGATGAGTAAGTTCATCCGCCCATGTGTTAAAGTCGCGCTTCACATGCGACGGTCCTAACATGACCTGGTGGTCATGCAGTGTTAACACAATTTCCATGAGGATGGCCGCATTGGGCATCCTGCGAGTGGAATCGTTAAGCAGGGAGAAAACGTTTCCCTGGTTATCACTAGCAACCAGAATCCTAGTGTGAGAAGCCGAGCCGGCTGCACAAAGCAGAACAGCCCTCACCAAAAGGAGGAGGCCGAAGAGCTCCAAGGCCGCTATCGCCCGCTGCGGGTCCCCAGTAGTGAAGGCCCACGGCTCGCCCTCCGGTGTGATTCTGTGTTGGAACCACTTCACTCGGGACTTGTCGGGGTTGGGCACGTCCGAGCACCAACCACCAACCCATGCATGGTCCGCCTGTTTGCCAGCTCCCGCATCAGATGCCCCCGTCCATGGAAGTGTGGGAGCAAATGGAGATGCCAGTGGGAACCTCTGGTTGAAGAGCTTGCCCAGAAGGATGGCCAGCTTCGGTGGCCTGCCCGAAGTGGTGCAGGCCTTCTTCCAGCTCCAAAAGGGCTGGAGGAAAGGTTTCGTCAATGGACACGCCGAAGTAGCCCATTGAATCCGGCCCAGGGCTTGTTCCACCTCCTTGCTGGTAAAGATGTCCCCCTGGGCCAGCCGTTTGAGAGTGGCCAGGATTATGACGTGCTTGACTGGAGCCAGCAGCACACAGGGCGTGATTGGGTCCACCACGAATCCCAACCAGGTATTGACCGGGGAGAGCGCCGTCTTCTTCCAAGAAAGCGGGACTCCCAGCGCCAGAAGAGTGGCCAGGATGGCTGTGGCGTCCCAGTCCGCCCTGCTGCATCTGAGGACCCAGCAGTAGTCGTCCACAAAAACTAAGTGCCAGTCCACCTGAGGGAAGATGTAGTACAAGAGTCTGAGCACCAAGGATGCCTTTCTTCCCCAGTACAGTTGTGCCGAGGCCATGCCGTACGTGCCCACTCTATTGACCCACCACCGGTTCTGGATGCAGGCCACCTGGTATTTCCAGTCTTTCTGGAGCACTTTTATGCGCCTGTGGGCCTTGGTGACATCCGCCTTGAGGATGATGAAGGTTTCCCCCTGTGTCGGCGGCTGCCACGTCAGGGGTTCCCCCCTGCTCCCCCCAGGGCGTTCCGTGCCTGGAAAGGTTGGGGGGAATGGGGCCCTCCTATCAGGGCCCTCGGCACCTGGGAGTGGCCCCTTCCCTGAGGGTGTTGACCGCGGAGAGACGTCGGAGGTCTCCATCATCCGCCTGCCCCTATCAGGGCCCTCGGCACCTGGGGGCAGGCTGGTGCTGTGGGGGTCCCTCTCAGGGCCCTCGGCACCTGGGGACTGCCCCTGCACCGGCTGGTGAACATCCCGAGGTTCCTCATCAGTGCCCGAGGATGGGGCTCGGAGTAGATGAGGATGGTCCGCCGCTGTCCTGAGCCAGTGGATGGCATGGAGGCAGTCTCCAACCATCGGTGCGGTGGTCTTCTCCTCCGTGTGAGCCTGGATGTGTGCGTTTGCTCCCCCTTTTGAGCCATCATAGATCGTCCTGATCTTGTCCGACTCATCAATCCCTGCAAGGGGGCCCGGGCAAAGTTCCTCCGGTTTGCAGCGGCACCTCTCTGCCGCCTCGGAGCGAGTGAAGGGCCCGTCCACCATGTCCAAGGCTCGTTCCTCGTAAAAGGTTGATTCGATTTCCTTGGCAAAGAGTTCAGCCGTTGGGTAGTTATCATGAGCCACTGGCGGGGGGGGATCTTCCCCCAGCCAGGCTTCTCCCTTAAGCTCCTCCTTAGTGGGCCAAACTCCCGGGGAGGTCAAGGTAGGGTCCGAGACTCCCAAGGGGACCCCCTCTTTCAGTGTTAGGGGGAACTCCCAATCAGGGTCACCTGAAAGGGATGCCAAGTGCGACACTAAGTCCAGGAGGAAGGGTTGTCCTGGGCATCGTTCATGGAGGTGCCTTGGTCCTAGGATAGCCCGCAGCTCCTCGAGGTCGGCTTCCTGGAAGGGGTGTGTGGTGGCACCTGATGCCAGGGACATTCGGACCTTGTCAATCCAGGGCCGGGTAAGGGTCATGATCAGGGCGCCCAAAGTGGATTCTCCGAAAAGGGGGGCCTGGAAAGGTTTTCCCCCCCCATTTTTTCAGGGGGCGTGAGCGGAAACCCAATTGGACAATCGCCACCCGGTCAGTGAGGTGTGGGACCCTGAAAGCGGGCAGGCATTCGGGGCGGTCCAGGACCTGGTCCCCCTGTCCCTCCTTCCCCAGTTGTTCCGCATCTCCGGCCATCGGGGGCATGGGAGATGGGAAGTCTGGGTTCATTGTTCCACGAGGGCTTACGGTGTCTGCCTCAGGGTGGAACTGCCCGTGCAGGCGGGGCTTCGGGGCGTTCTTGCCTCCGGGCTTTGAGCCCTGGTGTGATGAGGAGGGACCGCCTCCTTGACTGGGCCCCCGTTTTCCCCGGGGGGAATGGCCTTCCGGGGGGTCCGACCCCCGCCCCTTAGGTGGTTCCTTGGGGTTTCCCGGAAATTGTGAGGGGATCCGGATGTGCCCCGGCGCTGCGAGTGACACAGCGATGGCTTTGGCCAGGCCTGCCATCATATCCCAAGGGTATCTGCTAAGAGTCGAGGACTCGTTGGTGCCCACATGTGACTGATGCGTGCACCGCATTTGATCCCAGTCCTGGATCGGGAGATCCGTGGCCAGCGTAGTGGCCTTCTTGACCAGCTGGCCCAGGCGGCACTGGTCGAAGGAGATTGCTGTCAAGGAGTTCTCCTCCATCCAAAGCTGCCCCTCCTCTGTGATCCAGAAGGATGAGCATTCCTTGGCTTTGGGCAGCGAGCTGCTCACCACTGGGTCCTCCGGGTGTTCCAGGAAGGACCTGGGCCTTGGCAGAGAAACCGCCGCTCGTGAGGCCCTTGCCAGGCTGGTGATGTACATCTGTCTCAGAATGAGGATGCTGTCATCATCAAGTTGAGTCTGGGCGGCCTGGTCCAGGTGTGGAAGGCCCCAAAGTGTCTCTGGAGTGCAAAGAGCTCCATACAGCTCGGGTTGGAGCATATCGTGGTCCCCTTTGGGTCCAGACCGTAGGATGTCTACCGCCACCACCATGCTGGAAAGGTGTGGGTAGTTGGCATGAAGACAGCTGTCCAAGGAAGTTGGGTCTTCCTTGCCTGCATAGAGCAGGACAATGATGGGCCCACTGGATGGAACTTTGGGCGATGTGCCCTGTGTCCATCTCAGCCGCTGTACCAGACGCTCAGGGATGTTCTCCATCCACGGGAAGATGTCCAATCCCGGTGACGGCTCCGTTGGACTTGTCAGGGGGGTAGCTGAAAGGCGTTGGCCCCCTTCATTCAGCCCCACCGAGCTCTTGTGGAAAACCACCGGGTCCTGCTTGATGATGTTGGGCGCCGGAAGTGGGATCGGCTGCTTCCTGGGAGTGTCCCTTGGCGTTGCGGTGTGCTGCCAGTCATCCGGCACTCGGGCCTTCTGGGTGCGGCCCCCCGTGTCAGGGCCCTCGGCACCTGCGGGGAACCGTCCCGTCCCCGCCATATCAGGGCCCTCGGCACCTGTGGCTCGGGACTGAGGCGCCGCCGTTGTGCCGGTTGTGTGGCTGTTCTGATCACGGCGAGGGCGTTGTGCACGCTGGTTCTGCCGTCCCCATCCTTGTTCCGCCGAGGATGGCCGCCACCTGGCCTGTCCCCCCCCTGTGTCAGGGCCCTCGGCACCTGCAGGAGGGGGCTTCTGTGCCTGCTTGGGGCGTTTGCGCCCCTTCTCGCCCCCCCGGGCCTTATCAGGGCCCTCGGCACCTGAGGCCTCCCGGGGGGTAGGGGTCAGCGCCCCTAGTCAACCCGGGCAGTCCTGCGGGAGGTGGTCCCCCAGGCAGATGCGGCCCATTGCCAGGATGAGGTTGCACTTGTGGGTGCGGCCGCAGTTGCCCGGGCAGCGCCCGCGCATCCAGTTGTTACAGAACTGGTTCCCTTTCGGGTCGGTGGCTGCCTGCTTGTTACCGCCCCGGGACGCCTGATTGTTCAGGTGGGGGGTCTTACCCTTCCCTTTGTTCCCAGGCTTGCCCTTGGACTTCCCCTTGCCCTTGGACTTGTTCTTGCCCTTCTGAGGTGGTGCGTAGTCCATGGATGTCCTGGTTGATGGGCGGCCCCTGGAAAAGGTCTTGATCTTCTCAT